TTTTTTTTTTTTTTTTTTTTTCTGAATGCCCTCAAGCATGGTTTGTCTGGCTGGCAAACACAAGGATCTGAGTTCAATCCCCGGTTCCGCAAAAAAAAAAAAAAAAAAAAAAAAAAAAAAAGTAAAGTTCCAAAGGAACAATAACTCGTGAGAAACACTTCTCATAGTTGCTCTTCACGTTTAAACGCCCTCGGCGGTCGGAGGCGACTAGCGATGTGACTATTAACACTGCGAACTGGGACCCGTGCGCCGTCCAGCCACGCCCAGCGTCCCCCGGGACACCAGGGGCTGGCAGGAATGGGGAAGGACCCAGGAGGGGAAAACGTCCGAGTACGTATGACATAGCAGTTAACCAACATCTTGCAGACAGCCAGCAAAACAGTAAAGAGCGGTTGCCTCTGGGCAGTGCAGCGATGCATAGCTTTAATTTTCTTCTTTGGACTTCTCCATATTCCCAAATTTAGATATGGATGCTCACATTTATAACACAGCCAGCGCTCTGCGTGTATTCATTACGCCACGTGCACTATTCAGTAGAGACGGCGCCCTAGCACTCAGCGGTGAGCCCCGTCAGCCCGCAGCACCCAGCCCGCCCTCCTCCCACACAGCTCAGCACACCCGAAGCAGCAGTGGTCCAATCTCCTTCACACCTCCAGCTCCAGGGACAACCTGCTGCTTGGGTCGGCCTTCTGGAGACCGCCCGAGCGGCCTGCGTCCGGGCGCGCCCTGGGGTCCTACCCCTCCCTGAGCTGGATGACGTCCACAAGCTCGCCCTGCTTGAGCTCCAGTTTCTGGTCTGCGTTCTGAATCGCCTGTTCCCTGTGAGCGATCACCAGCATGGTTCGGTTCCCGCGAGACTTCCAGGCTTGCAGCTGAAAGGGTGGGATCACACACAGTGCCTCAGAAAGGTAAGGGCGGAGGGACACCAGCACCCCACAGGGCGCCACCTCTTCTGACTCAGGTAAAGGGGCTTGATGCTGCGAAGAGCCGCAGTCACGGTCTTCCCCGCTGCTCCTCTCAGCAGCTGCTGCTGCTCCTGAGGACGAGGAGGCAGCTAGCAGCGGCTGGGGATGCCTCCCACGCTGTGTCCCCAGCCCTGCAAAGGCAGCCGCTGTGTCCACTAAGGGGCCATTCGTCTGCCCCCACGACTCCAGAGGGTGGCCCTGCAGGCCTGACCTCGCAGACCCCACTGTGCAGACCGCCCCTCCCTGCTACTCACAGCCTGTTCACAGTGGACGTCCAGGGCGCTGGTGGCCTCATCCAGGATGAGGATGCGTGGGTCCCGCACCAGGGCCCGGGCGATGGCCACACGCTGTTTCTGTCCCACAGCCAACTGGCTTCCTTTCTCACCAACATCTGAGGAAACCAGAGAAAACGTCTCCTCAGACAGGAGCTTCAGAGCAATGCTCCTCCCCACAAGCAGGGACAATGGCACTGTGGCTGTCACCTATCCAACCAGACAGGAGGGGCAGGACCTACTGCCATGGAGGTGGGAGCTCTACTTCTGTGTTGCCCTCTGGGAACAGACTCTCCAGCAAGGTGGAGGCTGAGGAAGGCTTAAGGTGGGGAAGAACAGAGACTGAGAGCTAAGGGAATAAAAGAGAAGGAGCTAACACGGGCTCACAGGGGCCCAGCCCTTGCCCCAAGAAGCTCCATGTTCTCATTGGAGGGCAGAGGCAGTTCCTCATCTGCAGCAGATACCCGTATGTATTCCATCCGGCATCTCCTCTATGAAATCATATGCAAGGGCGTCCCGTGTGGCAGCCACCACCTTGTCGTCCTCACAGCTCTGCAACCCATAGGTGATGTTGTCCCTCACAGAGCCTGAAAACAGCACCGGCTCCTGCCCAACCACAGACACCTGTGAAGAGGGGAAGGGCGCAGGGGGCAGTGTAACCACAGGACAGGGACCCTCCACTCCCCTCACCTGCCTTCCCGTGAGGAGGCCCACTGTTCATTCCTGTGGACCACACGTCCTCCGTCTCTGCACACTCCTCCTCCACCCACGGCCCACCTCCCTCCCAGCCCACCTGTCTGTGCAGGTAGTGGTGCTCATATTCTGAGACAGGATTTCCATCCAGCAGCACCTGGCCCCCCGTGGGCTGGTACAGGTTCTGCAGCAGGGCAGCCACAGTGCTCTTCCCAGAGCCATTGGGTCCCACCAGGGCCGTCACCTTCCCAGGATGTAGAGTAAATGTTACTCCCTGGAGAAACAGGAAGAACTGAGGCCAGGCTACTTTCTCACAGGCTGCCTCCCTTCTCTTCCCAGCAGAAGCCAGACCTCCTTCTCAAAGGCAAATGGCCCACGAGAGGCAATGCCTGAGCACGCATCAGCAGCAGGGAACGAGGGGCGCGGGTCCCCCCCTGAGGCCTCTCTCCGGCACCTTGAGCACAGGCTGGTCGGGGCGGTTGGGATAGGCAAAGGTGACGTCTCTGAATTCCACGCGGCCCTGCATCTTGGCAGGGGCGAGTGTGCCAGGCTGAGGCAGATCGGGCTTTCTGTCCAGGTAGCAGAACACCTTCTCGGCAGCCCCCACGTTGCTCAGCATGTCCCCATACATGTACATCAGGGTCTGGAAGACAGGAGAGGACAGCGGCTGAGCGAGCACTGCTCCAGAAGCAGCCCCCGGCCCCCCAGGGCTCCCCGCCTCACTCCACGCACAGCCGCCGCACGGCCCTCCTCCTCACCCAAGGCAGCGCTCTCCGCTTTCTGAGCTACAACTCGGGCGGAATTTTAAAGCAACAACAACTCCTCAGTGCCCCCGTTCACAGTGGAAAAAAGGTCAAGTCCGAACTCCGGCCACACAGCATGAATTCTAACCCGCCCTTTGCCACCCTTGTTGCGCACTGCTCCTGCACAGGCTGGTCGGCTAGACGGGCACCGCCTGACAAGCAGGCACCGTGCGCGACTCACCTGTACAGCCGCCCGAGGGTCTACCTGAGCTCCTCAGGCATAACAGAAGGTGAACCTGTGTCTTGGAGATGACGGGCAAACGTAGGGAAAAAGCAAGTGCTCCTTCTACCTTCTCTCATCAAACCACAGTCCCGGGTGAGCAGACAACTCCCCGCTGCCTGAGGCATTTTGGGTAATTGATGGCAACCGCTAGAATAGCACCATCTTGCAACTGTCATGATGTAAAGGCCTAGGCACTGAGCGCCGTGGCTGCTGCCACCAGAAAGACACCCGGCATCTCCTGCCCGAGGAACACACCGTCCTCTAGGGAGCACACATGCCAAACAATGAGAAAAGCCTAGAATCTCACCAACTTCTAGATTTATCTACCAATGGACAGGAAATATTCTAGAAGCAGAAGAATGTATTAATGCCACACGCATTAGACAAAAAACTCCAACAGGACAAAAATGCTACAGGATGACAATCTACTTCCTCGCCGAGTAAATACAATAAGAATTTATTTATTTATTTATTTATTTATTTATTTATTTATTTATTGGTAGCAGGCATCAAACTCAGGACCTTGTGCTTGGCAGGCAGGCTCTTAAGCCACTGAGCTATCTCCTCAGCCCACAAAATTTTAGATAGAGAAACTTCAAAGATGTAGCAGCAAATCAAAGCAAGTGGACCTTATCTGGACGCTGATGTGAGCAAATGCCTCATGGCTAAGCCAGGTGGAAAGCTGACCAACAACTATATCTGGTCCATTTTAGGAACCGTCACCAAGCTTTAGGGGTTATAATGTCTATGAGATTATACATTATGCTAGATGATTTTATTTTATAGATATTACATACTCTTGAATTTGAATTACATATCATAAATTTGCATCAAAATAATATTGGTGAGAAGCAAGTGGAGATTCTGACCAAACAGAATCAGAGATGTGGTGACCACTGCTAATGCAGGTGTTGGGTATGTGTGGCTTCTTAGATCGTTTTCTTTTTTTTTTTTTTTTTTTTTTTTTTTTTTTTTTTTATGTATTTAGTACAGAGGCTACAGGATCTCACTATGTAGATCGGACTCGTAGTGATTCTCCTGTTTTCAGCTTCCCAAGCGCTGGGATTACAGGCACGTGCCACCATGCCCAGTCTCAATCGCAGGCTCAGCGCGCCCCGGGGGGGCGGGGCTGGCACAGCACTGCCTTCTTTTAAATACGTTTGAAATAGACCGTTACAGAATTAGCTGGCATCTTACATTTTGTTCCTGCCCTACTGGGGAGAATAAAGCCCAAGACCGAGAGACAGAACAGAAGGGAAGGGCAGGAGCGCGCGCGAGGTCCTCACCCACCTGCACGTAGAGCCCCACTTCCGCCTGGTAGAGCAGAAAGGACAGCAGCGAGCCCCGCGTGATCTCGCCCGCCAGGATCTGCTGCCGCCCACAGCTCAGTATCATCGCCTGCGAGCCCAGGTGCACCAGCTGGAAGGGCAGGAGGGAGTGAGGCGCTGAGGGAGCCTTCGCGCGCTTTCCCCTCCCGGCCCGGGACTCAGTGCCAGGGACCCCAGAACCAGCAGGTGCTCCCCATCCTTGCTGTCGCTCCCGGCCACCTCCCCAACATGTGGCTGTCTCACCTTCTTGAAGAGATCATACAGGCCCTTTTCCAGGTCCCGGCGCCACCACAGCTGCCGGCATCGCTCCAGGGCCTCCTGATAGCGACGGACCTCGTGCTCCTCGGCCCCAAAACTGCGCACGGTCTGCAGCCCTCCAACTGCCTCCCGCACCACCTGCCCCGCCTTGGCCACCGCATCCTGGATCTCCAGCAGCAGCGCCTGGGAGAGCAGGGAGGTGGGTGTCCACGCAGATGTGGGAGAAGAGAGCAGACCCGGCCCCCTCCAGCCCGGGGGCCTGCCCCCTCTTCCGAGCTTCAGACTCTCTCCTCCCACTTCCTCTCTTGCTCCCCAGAAGGTGTGAAAGCCAAAAGGAGCGAAGAACAGTGTGTCAGTCATTCAGCCGTGAGCTAGTGTGGGAGACAGTCGGTTTCTAACCTTCGTTTGTCCGGGGAGCAGGTAGGGCAGGTTCCCCAAAGAGCAGCAGCTAGCTAAGCTGGAGATGCGATTCAACACGCATCAAAACCCACATAGCAGAAAAGCTCTGTGAGGCCACATTTGTTTTTTTTGTTTTGTTGGCGGAACCGGGGATTGAACTCAGGCCCTTGTGCTTGCCAGGGAAGTGCTTATTCCACTGAGCCATCTCCTCAGCCCCTGTGAGGCCACATTTGGCAGTGACTTCTTGGATATGACACAAGAAATACAGGCAGTAAAAAATGGATAAACCAGACTTCCTCTAATAAAAGATTAATATACAAAATACATCAAGAACTCCTATAATTCAATATAAAGAATCCTAATTTTCAAATGGGCATAAAAGTTGATTAGACATTTGTCCAAATAAATAGAACTGTCTTGTAAGGGGCTGTGGGGCAGCTCAGTGGTAGAGTTCTTGCCTGGCAAGGGGCGCTCAGTCCAGTCCCCAGCACTGAAAAATGATGTCCAATAAGCACAACATCCCTGATTATTGGAGAAATACAATGAAAATCACAATAACCTATCACAAGCTTAGAACAGCTATTATTTACTTTTTAAAAAAAGGCGAGTAGTGGCAGGTGTGTGAAGAAACTTGAGAGCTTGTACAGTACTGGAGGAAGCCACCTGGAGCAGCCGCCATGGGAACAGCGAAGCAGTGTCAGGGCCAGGAAGACGGCTCAGTCCCCGGATCCGCCACCAAAAAAAAAAAAAAATGCAGTTCCTCACAATATTAAAGTGAGCATCACCACATCACCAGCAGTTACATTTCTCGGGGTACGCCCACAGGGACGGAGAGCAGCGTCCCACACAGCTGTCTATACACCCACACTCACAGCAGTCATCTTCACAGTAGCCAAAAGCTGGACACCCCTCAAATGTCCATCCGGGGATGGCTAGACAAACACAGTGTGGTTTATCCACATACCATTCCGCCTTAAAAAGGAAAGACACGGGTGCACCCTGAAGACCTTAGGCTAGTGAAGTAAGCCCGTCGGAAAACAAAAGCCAGAAGATTCCACTACGGTGTGGTAATACCCACAGTAACCAACTTCACAGAGCTCGAAGGTAGGGCGGTGGCCAACGCGAGGGCTGTGGCAGGAGCTGCCACCTGGGTTCAGAGCTGCATTTTAAGAAAAAGTTCTAAAGACAGCTGGTAGCAGTGGCTTCCCAGTGACATGTGCTCGCTGACACCGAACTGTGCGTGTAACACCCATTAAATGGTGACATTTATAGTACATATGTCTTAACCACAACAAGACAGAAAGAACCTAAGATTAGCAGACATTCGGACTCCAAATTCCCAACTCCTCCCTACTTCCGCTACACTCCCGCCAAACCCCGTCTGCTGATTTTCAAGGGAAAAAAACGTAAAACTAATATTTCCTTTTCAATTTTTGAGCGGAGGCTATGTACAGACTCCTTTGAGAGGATGATAAAAGGATCATCTCTCCAGAAAAATGCCCCCCTCACATGCACACGCTCGCACACACATGCACACTTTTGTCCTCAGTGCTGAGGGGGTCACAGATCTTCTGAGCTCAACGTCCATGAAAAGATGACAGAATGAGCAAAATGTGGTGCAAGCATACAAGGTTCTCTGAGGGCTGAGACAAGGAACTGCCTCTCTACGACACCCTCGAGCTGGGAATGTACAGGTCTCCTCACCCCAAAGCTTTATTCTCCTCTCAGGGTCCCCTAAGGTCCACATACCTGATGGCGAGTGTTGTACACCTTCTCAGCAGCCAGCGTCACGGGCAGGTCGATCAGAGACAGGAGGGTGAGTCGAGGTGACACGCCGACCATGAAGCCAAACAGCCCCACGACTTTCACGAGGCTCCGGAGGAAGATGTTGGCATTGAGAGGAAGCCAGTTGCTCATGAGGGTGGTGTCAGAGCTCAGCCGGGAGTGCAGCTCCCCTGGCGAGGACGAAGCAGATGAGCACAGCACACACACTGCACAGCAGAGGCAGAGTCCTCATGAACGTCCCCAGGGACACGGCCCGGCCTCTAAGTCTCTGCAATCACCTACAGAGCCAGACTCCTTGTCCATACTCTGTCCCCGGCAAATGATGGGTAAGGATGTATGGGGAATCCCAGACCTGGTCCCCAGTCCCCACCTGTCTTAGTCTCCTGGAAGAACCCGAGGTCCTGATGCAGCAAGGAGGAAAAAAGCTTCTCACGGATCCGCAGGTTGATTCTGGACATGACGAAGGTAAACAAGCCTCCCCGGCAGCCTCCAGACAGTGAGCTGTGGGTCAGAAGAGAGGCGCAGGAGGAAGGGGAGAGCGATGCACAGAGGAGGGGTGAGAGAAGCAGAGGAGAAAGCCCAACTCAAAGGAAACGTAACAGCGGAGAATGCAAACCATGAGCAAAAGGAAGCGGGTGAGCGACAGGAACAGAGAGAAGAAATGGTTGACAGGGTGACTAGATGTGGGAACGGACTCGCAATATGGAAAAGCCCACGAGTACTCATGGAGTTCCTCTGTGACCGACACAAGGAGCACAATACAGAGCTGTGGAGGACGGAGCGGCTCTCCCTGAAAGACAAGTGATCACCCCCACTTTGGCCTGCCCCTATTTCCTACACTGATATGTACAGCGCTGGCTAGGACTCTTCCTTCTCCTTTCAAGTGGCCTTAAGCAACGCATATTGGTCTAGCCGAGGTGCTGGTGGTAGGCTTTGAGGATGGCACGCCGATAACCCGCACCTGCAGCTCTTTAATGTGAGCCGGGGTTGAGACAGGATGGAGAGCCAATGCTCCACGCTGGGATCTGGGATCAAGCCTCGGGATACACGCTATGACTTCCTGGGCCTTGAAAGATTACACATCAGAGCTGAAGCTCCGGACCCCAAAACATTAGATACTGTCTTAATAGTATAATGCAAATCACTTTTTCTGCATATCCTTCTCTCTGCATATGACAGACGTAAATACAGGCCTCCTACCTAGCTCAGCTAGGTACAGTACTCACTTCCTGTAATTCTCAGTCATTCAGCCTCAAGCCACTCCTCCTTCATGACTTAATAAAACCCGGGTTGGGCCGTGGGTCGAGGCCTTTGTTCCGGATAGCAATCACCATGGCCGGACTTAGGCCCCCTTGGCTCCCCACAACTATAAACATGCCTTAGTGCCTTTATTCTCACTGTGGGTTGCATTGGAAGTGGTGCATTGGAATTCACTTGATGGGATTCCAATAACTTATCCACAAGATTACAAGTGTAAACTTCCTGGACCGAGACAAGGACCAGGAAGGGCTCCCTTAGAACTGTAGAGAAGTAGCCCAGGGCTTGCTTCCGGCCTGGCCTCCCTACGGCTGACCCTCTCTGGCCGCTCCGGTCTTGGTCTTTTTCTTCCCAGCAGCAGAGCCCTCTCTTACAGTCACAGATATTTCATCTTGGGGCCAGCAAGGAATCCCCTGCCCTCCCATTCTCAAGGGCTCCAGAGTCATGCTGACCCCTTCTTTCATCTTTGGAGAATTCTTCTTACACAAACCAATGTTTTACCACAAAATTTAACGATAAGCACATAAAAAGCGTAAGCCATCCTTTCGCATAATATGAGACTCCACTGCAAATATAGCTGGCACATTTAAAGTGTTGGTGATAATCACGCAGGAAATCATGAGGGTTCTGGACTCTGGCAGCGCTGGCCGAACGGAGAGGAAGGAGCCAAGCACACAGATGCGCCCTGAAGTAGGAACTGGCAGCGCTGGTGCTGGAGTGCGGGGGAGACGCCAGGCCGGTGCT